TTGATTTATAAAATTGCTACAGGAGGGACAACATTACTTTGACGTTCACTTAACAGACATTACATACAGATAACAATTCATGTACTTATAGATGATTATTTAAAAGAGATATCATATATGGGATACTGCTGTTCTTATAGCGTTCGGTTCTAGCCTTGGGACAGTCAAGTAGATTGCTGGAGCGTGTGGTTCGTCCAGTAGTGTTCCCACGTGTGGGTGGTAGCCAACTGCGGAATTCTTTGGAACTAACAAGTTTCTTAGCGAAGTCTAGAGTGAGGTCGTCTCGTCGTTGATCAAGTGTAGGTATGTCCAGAGTCATGCAAGCCTCGCGATACGATGTATAGGCTGGGCCCAGGATTATTCGACACGCCCGTTTCTGTATGAACTCAATTCTGCGTCGCTGTTTGATGGTCAGTCCTGCATGCCAGGCGGGCGCTCCATACTCACAACTTGGGCGCACAAAAGTTTTGTAACAGGTAAGTAGGTCATCGCGGGATAGACAGAATTGTTTGAGTTGTTTTAGCATAAATAGTTTTCTGTTGCCTTGTTTGACGATATGGTCCACATGTGCATTCCAACCGAGATCGGCCTGGAGGTACAGACCGAGCAGTTTCACTGTCTTCACCTCAGCTAACGGTTCACCGGCGATGGAAAGGGTTGGTAGTGGTGGCGGTGTTTTTAGGAAGCACACGTGCATGACTTTGCACTTTTTTGGGTGTAGCTGCATGTTTCTTGATGTTGCCCATTCGTCGAGGTGGTCAAGGTCTGTTTGTATGGTAGACGCGTCTCCGATCATCCTGCTCTCAGCTAAGTTAAGGTCGTCAACAAATTTCCATCGCTTAGCTGAGGCGTACTCACATGCGCTGTTTATTAAGGCGAGGAAAATCAGGGGTCCAAGGACGGTTCCTTGTGGTAGCCCGCAGCTGGTCTCCCTCCAGTCCGAGTAAGTTCCCTTGTATGACACTCTCTGCTTTCTGGCGGTGAGAAAGGAACATAACCATCGAGCTAATGAGCTTCTTAGACCCAACTGGAGTAGGCTTGAGACGGCTAAAGTATGATTGATATGATATGATAGGATATTAATGTCTGCTAAGACTTATGTTGCCCCTGGCAACAACACTGACGTCAAAATGGCGTCATAAATGACGTCATGCATAATTAAGCATAATTAGATGTTCATATGAGCATTTTATGCATGTGAAAAAATTAGTGAAAAAACATGGTTACCCAAGAGCTAATTATATGCTCCGCCATCTTGGATTTTGACCAATGACGTCATTACATTAGCATAAATTATTGATTTTTAATGATAGAAATTATATTAATTATATGTGAGATGTTATAAATGTTAAAAGGAAGTGTAAATAAACATAGAACCTATAGCTAGAAAATTTTAATGGTTGAAGCAAAATTACTGATTTTCCCAAAAACTGCCTGTCAGAAACCCGTTGCCATGGCAACACGAAAAATCAGGAACATATCTAACTAGAGTCCCACGATCTCATACCTTCGCCAAATGATGTTAATCTTTATGACAGACAAAATAAAGATTATTCCTCCTGATTATGCAAATAGGATCCTCATTTGCATGAATTATATCAGTTGATTTACTTGATTATATTCTCCATCAAAAGACAGCCTTATCTTAACAAAGAAAGCCATTCTATCATTTCGTCATAAATTATGCAAATGAGGACCTTATTTGAATAAGTTATGTTTAATGATGTTCACCTTCACTTAACTTTCAAATACCCCAAGTATGAAATTCCAGGCAGTTACTATTATGGAATTATAACATTTTCTCATTAATTATGCAAATTAAGTGTTAATTTACATAATCAATATCTGCCTGTGTTTCTCTTGTTCTCAATTACATATGTCACCAGCTTGAATAGTCGTATAATGTAATGCAGCTGATTTATAGAATTTCCTCATTAATTATGCAAATTACATCCATATTTGCATAATTGTCACATAATTATGTCAAGCGTCACTTAAGCTACCTACATACCAAAAATCATGAAGATTCGTCCACCGGTTCTTGAGTTATCCTCTTATGAATATTTTCAAAGAAATGCCCCTGCAGTTCCTGAGCAAGCCGCTAGGGGGCCCAAACCTATGTCACTTCTTCCCCAGCACAAGACTTACCTACCATCCAAATTTCGTGACCCCAGTACATCCAGATCACGAGATATCAAAACCGGAAGTTCAGCTGCAGTACCATAAGAAGCCGCTAGGGGGCCCAAAATCTAATCATTTCGAGGTCTCATCAAGACCTACCCACCTACCAAATATGAAGTCAATCCATTTACGCCTTCTCAAGTTATCGTGTTTACAGACAGACAGACAGACAGACACACACGCGAACGCCTACGAAAACATAACCTTCTTTGCGAAGGTAATTAATATAAAGTTGTTGCCAATTATTTTTTTTGGAAAAGTTACCAAATTTGACGGTTCTAGCCCAAGCCGTTCGCTATCCGAGATGAAAGTTGGCACGGGCCTCAAAAGCCCCCCTCCCCCCGGTCTGAATAGGGTTAAACTGCTTAGTAGAAGCCTTCACAGATGTGTAAATTTTGTAGGATGTGGAAAACTTTAAGATCCAGTGATTATACTAGATGAAGATTAATTGAAAGAAGCATGAAAATGGCGTAAATTCAAACATAATGGGGTTGACTTTCTCTGAAACTGAAACAGTGGAAGACGTAAGATACCATCCTGTATGTAATACATGTACATGTATGTGGGTTCTGTGATATTAAAGAGGAGAGTAGTTTTCCTTTAGTCGGAAAACGTGGAAAAAGTATCTATTTGAAAGGGGTCAGAACTAACTATAATTTTGTAACTGCGGAGCAAACTCAGCCGCATCTAGATATTTTTTATAATATGTGATGTTTAATTTTGCAATAGAAAATTAATGCTGGCGGATAAGAAATTGCACGGCCTCACATATGAAAATAATCGTGATCATAATATCAGGTGTAATGGGCATTTCAATTCATTTCCTCTCTCTTCCACTTCGTAGACGTCGACAATTTTGTATAGTTTAGAGGAGGAGGGCCTAGTATAAGCACGCCATGCTTCTCCCCTCCTCCTGCACCTGTTTTATCATTGTTTTTATATTATTAGTTCCGTCTTATTGATGTGCAAACAATAAAATCAATCAATCAAACAATGTTGTAGTGCAGATGTACGTCTCCCTTCTTTGGCTGGAGGAATTATTGGATAAATGTTCCATTGTGTTATATGGATGTTATGTGGTGTATGGTTTGGAGTTTTAGGCCTGTTTAGGACATAAAAGTGGAGTATTCCAAGACGCGCGTGTGTGGGTGTGGGTGTGTGCCTATTTTTTTGTCTTGTCGTTTAATTTGTCTTCCTCTCTTCTGTCTGAGACGTCGGCGGGGTTGCAATGACAGGTTTATAGTATATATCTGTATTATCCCTCATGTCTTTGTCACTTGATAGAACTGTATGAGTTTGTTTTCTCGAGCACGTTAAAGGTTCCATGGCGCTTTAAAAAAAGAGTAGGCCATAGTGAATCAAACCATACAGTCCAGTCGTACACGTTTTTAAGTACCTACTGCATACAACTGGTGTGTTGCGATCAAGGCGGCTACCGGTTATGCAAAATTTAAGCAAGCAAGCAAACAAACCAGAATAGATACAGACAAATGCTTATCATCAAACAAATTAAGAGTCAGAACTCCGTCGTTGTCAAGCATGGCTTTATTGATCTCGCTTCTGTCCGTCATAAACAGCACAACAATCTATGAAAACTTTACTTTAAACCCGATTGATCATGCTTGCATTCTGATTTGTCCATCCTTTTCACTCGTCCTCTGAGAGTACAAATATCATTTGTATTCCACCACTTTAGTACGACGAGGAATTAGGAAGTTCTTTTCCGTGTCTTAACACTTCCCGTGTTCGGCACCGGGCAGTGCCTCCGGGTGTCCGTAGAACAGCTCAGAACGGCAGGCGGTAGCACCAGCACCCGCGGTGGTTCCCCCGGCCGCCGCCCTTGCGATGGTAGATGCCGATGATGAAGGGGTAGAAATCCCCCGCGCAGCGCCGCATGCAGCAGGGCTGGTTACGGCCTGGAACGTTAAGCAGACTGTGTTAAACCCCTTCACAAATTCACGACCTACCCCCCGACATTCGTTCTCGAACACCAGCCAACCAGGCCGACCCTCCCGAACACCCACGAATGTTTTAAACAGTGTGAAAGCCGAACCGTAGCCGGCAACAGGGGCTTAACACATCTCTTTCTGTCAGGGCTGATTGGCCATATACCCCTAACTCAAGAGAATCATTCCCAGAATTACGAGGAGGAGTAAGGAGAACGCAGAGAGAGACAGAGAGAAAGAAAGATGTACAGAAATCAGGTTAGTTTAAACATGTTACATATATGCACTGGGTTCCTTACATTTTCGTGCTTCTGGAAGAGTCCAGGTGCGCTTGCTCAGCGAAATGCCCCCTTCCTCTTCAAGTGGTGCAGGTTTGTCGCTTTCCGTTCCCTGTAAGGACGAAAATAAGCGGATCCAAAGATACTCTTGAGCAAACCAATTTTTAAATGGATTTCAAAAACGTCTGCGTCTGACAGCTGCCACCCACGCATATATACATATATACTGCGGGCTTGGACGTCAATTTTCAATCAGGAATATATTTTTAAGAAGACTTATTATTCTGCAATGAATGTAGGTGTCAAAAACACAACCTGTTTGCGAATAAAAGTGGTAGAAGATGGCGGACTATGAGAGATTACTTTCACTTCACTTCACTTTCACTTTTTCATATACACGCACACAAGTCGGTCTTACAACGGGTTTTTCAGGCAGCACTGCGCTTAAAATAACATACAACAATTGCATACACAACGGAGGCAATTGGAATATATTAATTATGTATTATATTCGTAGGTAGATTGAATGATATTCCTCATATGTGGATCTTGGTAGAAGATCAAATTGTTTTTTGGTATATCTATTGATATGCATGCAGAGCTAGAGGGGACGTCATACTTTGACATGTTGAGCATATGATTCGTCTTTTTCTTTTGTGATTCCCAGCATAGACAAACGCGACAGGGGTGTTTGAAAGAACAACAATAACGGCGTCGTTAAAGACATTCAATGAAATTTCGGGGCGGCAAAATAAAAAAAAAATATTCTGGGTGAGGAAACCTATCTGATCTTGGCATTTACTGCTATTTTCAATTCTTCGCACATTTAATCATCATACTTGAAGGATTTGAAATAGCGCAGAAACAAGCTATATAGCTTTATTTTTTGGGTACTACCGACCATAGATAGCTAGATCCAGCCTACGATACAAAAGAAGCAACCATTTTCCGCCAGCGACATCGCATTTTTGCCTCACAGATATCACACGGGATATGATTGATTCAACTTACTTGCATTAACACCCCAGCCCAGAAAATTGGCTTTGAAAATCCAGTTTTGTCACCCTGAAATTGCATTGGATGCCTTTTTAATTGAGGGCGTTTAAAATCGGCCTTAGAACCCACGCACCTGACGGGCTTTTCACAGCACACTAACGATAGAAGACGTTTACTCACCAAGAGTTCGCCGGATTTTCCGGACCAAGTGTTGTCTCGAGCCTCTCCTGGAGTAGAAGATACACGTTAGGTTTTTGTGAATGACATTCAACAGAACAACCGAGGGGATTGTATGACATACCATAATCATTCAAAATATTCCAAGAATATTATGCCATCTTGCACGGGTAAAATTAGATTGTGCTCCGTTCATCAAAGCACAAAAATGTCATCAAGTATTCTACGAGTCCGGCACGTACTAACATGACTACATCGCGGCCTTTCTTAACTGATAGCCTTCGGGCAGACGACTTTTTTTATGCCAAGTATATTTGCTAATCGAGTGTTGGGCGTCTGGCGTGCGTTAACTCTATATATAGAGGATCGGGACTAGATTCACCAGGTGAAACGCCAAATCAATCGTTTATATGTGTGTGCCATGCTACAATTCTTCAACTTACCAGCGTTTATTTTCTATCCTTTCCTGTATTACACAATCTCGTTCAAATCAGGGCCTGATTGGGCCTTCTACAAGCCTAACCAATGGACGGGACAATACAAGCGTAATTTAGTCAGGATATTTCCATCAGAAATTCTCAATTACAAAGTTGTAAATGCAAAAAATAAACTACAGTCGTGCAGACTACTGGAACAATCTTATAATGAAGAAGGATAAATGGAGATTGCAGATTGACGTAACTGATCCACCGTTACGAAACAAGAATCAGTCGCCACAAAGTGCGAATCGAATCAGGAATCTGGGCAAAGGATCGACCGGCCAATTTGGTAACTGCTTAGGTACATTTTACCGGTACTGGAGATTGTCCTGCATGTGATAGCGATAGAAATATACTTTTTAGTCATGTATTAAATTCCTCAGCTCAGGTAGAAGAGAGAAATTTATATTGCTTACATCTTTCCACAAACCAATTTTAATTAATCTTAAATGTTCCTACATTTATGCCAAGAAGCTGACCAAGAAGCAGGAGGAAGCTGAATATTCACGTATATACTAGTACTTGCACCGCGACCTGTGACACTAAGTGAGGCGTGAAGAAGAACAGAAAACTGATTGACAGATCTTCTATGGTATGATTTAGTGGTGGCGGTACGGCACGGGTCGCATATTGGATTTCAAGAACTGCTATCTTCGACCTAACGCTGTCCGCTATTATACCGACCACAGTATATATCTTTTCCACCTCAAGGGCCAAGGCTTTCCCTTGTGTTTCGATAACCAGTACCTCTAAACGTTGCCGAAAAAAAGGTAAAGGTAGTCCTATAACTTTTTAGAGGTGGGCTCTTAATCCACTGTGTCTAGTAGGGAAGGGTATTGCAAGGCGGGGCCCATTCCTCTCCTTCCGCCGCCTTTTACCTCCAGAACCGAAATCAGATACCCACTTTACACCTCGGTGGAGTGAGGAAAAGTGTCAGGAATCGAACCATCTGAAAGCTGCACAGACAAAACAATAAATCTGCCTGAAGACTGCGCGTGACTTACCGGGGAGCACGGCGATGACGAGCCCGAGGAGCAGGGCCAGGGCCAGGCGGGATGCCATCTCTACGGTGCGGCGGAGTTTGTGGAGCGCGGCGTCAGGTGAGTGAAGCGGCGACGGTGTGGTGCCGATGTTTAGCCGACGGTGAGTTTTATACGTACTTACTTATCATAAACAGGCCTTCCGGTGTGGAAAGAGCAGAAAACAGCGCACCAAAAAGATTATGGTCACGAGGTCTGATTCCTGACGTCACTAGATCGCCGACATTTAATGCAAGTGACTAATGACTCGTGGGCGTTCATATGTCAGCCACATCTCTCTCTCTCTCTCTCTCTCTCTCTTTCTCTCTTCCCCAGAACCAACGGTAAAATGATAATGTCATCAACCTGGATTCTCACGTTATACACTGTTGTTTTGATCAAGAAAACTTCGGATTATGTCAATCATCGGATTCACTGATGAGTTCATTGTTGAGTCGCTATCTATTGACGTTATCAAACTTCCGTCTGAACAATGATGGAAAATGAAGAGTGGAAGGTTGGCGTGTGGTGCACAAATAAGGAATAAAAAGTGTCTGTTTGTGATTTGTTGTGGGGGCGTGCGCGGTTGGCATGTGGCCTCCACAACAGATATAACAGTTAGATAATAGAATTCATCAAAAATAGGATCAATGGCCAGAGAGGTGAGTCCGCTGTTAGGATGTCATTGCCCCCTGCGCGGTCCAAAGGAACTCTACGGTGGCCAAACTGCCCTGGCAACTTATTCTCCCTATATTTCGCTCAATTTAATGGTTGTTGTGGAGACACTGAGTTGACATGTCTGCTGTGACATAAGAATACCGGCCCCAAATAGTATATGCAGGCCGAGTGCGAGGCATTTTTTTGTGACAACGTTTTTCGTAGCCATAATACAAATGTAATTTTTCCGACCCTTTTGCAACCTTCACTACAATCCATCCTAGTTCTTCCCTAATTTGGACATTTTAATGCACATCGGGTCACGTATCACGTAAGCGCTATCCTATCAGG